AAATGTATAGGTATAAAGTATGTTTTTAATAACATAACATATTATTTATTTATGTAGGTATTATTATTATTTTATATTACTTATAAGATTTATAGCATGGTGAAATCATGAGAAATGAGATCATGAGAAATTATTGTGATTGAACGGTCATGATGGATTCAACGGGATAACTGATAGAAAATAGCTTTGTTCGATTATATATGTTACTGGCTATATTATGGAGTCTTTCAAACGCATACACTTATCGGAGACGGGCGGCCATCGCCGTTCATGCGACCTATCCAGGATGGAGTTCAACGACTATACATATAATATTATCTGTCATAAGGACTACATTTCCGGGCAACTATTGAATGTTACTCGATGTCCGAGACTGACAATTCGGATATGGTAAATACGGGAGTAATAAATTACTTTTTCGAAAAGGTTAGCGCATCGGTTGCCCCGAAATCCTTATAATATTATATACGCTTACTCATTCTGCTCATTCTTCTCGGTGTCACGTATCATTGTTTATTAAAAAAAAAAAAAAAAGGTACATGATGTATTTTTTTTACAAATTATCGAAACTGTGCAAACACACAAACGAATATACTGCATAAAAAAAAATAAATCATAACCTATTATAATATATTATGTATAGTGTCAAAAAGCCATTGAAATATATTTAACATTTTGGTCAATCCAAATTTTATTAGAATGTTTAATTGCTGTTGTTATATCGAATATTACATTATCTTTAAAGATAATAGATTATACAACGTAGTAAAGCTCTAATGCAACGGTTACAAAATTTGTATATTATTATTTAAGTATTCACTCAATGTTTTTACAAGTTTGAGAAAATTACAGTGTAGTGACATAGATTATACCCTTTGACCGCATGACGGTATTGAATAATTAATTAAGTTGCATTCATTCGCGTTGGATCGGACATTATTTATGTTTTTCCCTTTACATTCGCCGAATTACTATTGCGTACACGACGAAGTTCTGCCGGACATGTAATAAAAGATTTATGTAAACATGTCTCTTTTATGAAAATGAAAACGATAGTTTACCTTCAGCTGTTCCGATGTTCGCTAAAGTTCATAAATATCAGATTTATTTTTAATATCGTTAAACCCCTAAAGGGTTATAAGAATGTTTATACAAATATAATTATTAAACTCGTCCAGGTTTATTACACGTCATGTTAACACACAGTAGTAAACTTTAACGGGGTAAACATTGGTTTTCAATAAGCCCGTTTTTATATGTTAGCTTTTTGTGTTATATTATAAATAACAAACTATCAGTATTATATAAAAGTATAAAACATCATAAAACTGAGAAACGCAATAATATTAATACGCACGTGGGTATATTATATTATCAAACAATAAAGTGAGGCCCAGTATTTCTTAGAAAAGAAAAAAAAATCCAAAACAATCAAAACGTTTTTCCAACAATTTTAAAACATATTAATATTTTTAAGAAAAAATGTTTTGCTCCTGTGATTTGTTTGCAACCGTTTTAAGCATGCGTATTCACAACTTGTACGGAAATATCTCCAACTACCAGAAAATCATTTTTAAGAATTTTATTGAAAACATATTTTTTTTTCAAAGGTGGACAAATCTCTTAAAAAATATTATATTATTTAATAACAAATTACAAATTACACAAATTTAATTAAGTATTTAATTACCAATTATAAAAATCCAAATTAATTAATTAAAAATCACCTAACTGACATACTAATAATAACAATTATACTTTTGTTTTTGAAAAAGTATTTAACTGTGAACAACTAAATGTTTTTCTAAAATATTTAGTTTAACTGATTGAAATGTGGTTATAAAACTAATTATTTTCAAATATGTTGTAATATATATTTTAACTGACGCTAAAACGTTCAGAAAAATAGTCGAAAAAGTTCCAAATTTGTTTAGAGTTTATTTCTTAACATTTAACATAGTGATATACAATCAAAAACTAAGAAAGCAGTATTAACCCTTTAGGGGTACTATAGTTATTTTATTATCGTTTGTGACAAATTAAGTGGTTTTTTATACATTTTTTTAGAAATTTGTATTTGAAAATTACAATTTACATTAAACATTTTAATTGAATTTGCTTACATTAGGCTCTGGAAATTACCCATCTATATTCATGTATTTAATCTATGCTACTATATGCATAATGAGCGCATGTGTTATCTCCACAAATTACTCGAACAGCAAGTTAGTGACTGTATTATTCACAACGGCTTTATACCATTTGGTAATGGGTGATTATTCATGCCGAGATTATGGCCTTTGATAAAAGACACCCACAGTTGAACGGTGCTCGCATGTACGGATATAGCACGTGCACGTACGGGCTGCAGTACCTGTCTCGTGCATACCAATCATTAGCGGTTATTATCAAGAGCAGCCGTGGGTTTACTAGTTTTGTTGTCCTGTCTTATCGACTATCTTTATCGACTACTCCGACCGGTGTAGGTACTACGCGTTATAGGTTTAAGTGTGCTGCTAGTCTCTATAGTCGGATTTCATTACGGCCGCAGTCTGGTCAAATGTCCGTTTCGTTATCGGCAAAGCGGGCGACATTAACTACCGGTATTACGGTTTTCCACGACCGAGGTCATAAAAAAAAAAAGAAGAAAAAAAAGCCCAGTTTATTTTCTTCAGTCTTCCATTGCACAAACGGCAAAACACTACGCCACGGTGCTTTTGAGCAAGACTAGTTTTATAAGATGACTACAGTCTATAACAGGTGTTTTCTGGTGAAAAATTAAGATCACATTGTGTAAAAGCTATAAAAAAAAAAATTGTATTTCTTATTTAACCCAGTTAGATGATATTGAGTGGTTCGCGATAAAATGATCACTCTGTGTGTAAGTATTTCATACTTAATAATAGTTGGCAGATCATAAGCATAAAATCTATTACGTTAATAAGCCCATAACGTTGATTGCGTAACGTTTGTTATAAAAATAATTAAGTAGGTTAAATATTGATTAATTATTGAAAGGTTTTTGTATAGTACTATTACTACTTATGAAAACCGCTGGTATCGGCGTGGTTTAATAAAAATCCTATTATATGCGTGGACTTGGAAAGCAAAATCAACCAATGCGAAAAAGTATAATTTTTAATTAAGATAAAACAGAAACTAAACCTGGCTGTCAGCGTGTCTTCTCAAAACGGTATTAAGTCACGATAAGTATAAAGATCCGAGATCTTGGTGCCGATTGATTACCCGTCTTAAATCATCTGGGTCACGCAGTAAAATAGCACCACCCAACTCAGTTTCACAAATCTATGTCGATATATATTTTCAATAGTTTATTATTTGCTAATGTAAGATTTTTTTTTATAAATTTATGCTGTTGTTTTTGACGTTAATTATACGTTTAAGGGTGGTTTTCAATGTGGGAAAAAAACGAGAGAAGTGAGTTAGTATATTTATTTTGAAAAAAAAAACAGAAACAAGTAATTTAAATATACACATATATATACATACATACATATTAAGTAAAACAAGATACGCGAAGTTTTGTATGATACATTATTAGACGAACACAGATTGTGTTTAGACGAAAGATGGAAGAAGGGAATTGACTTTTGCAAGAGACCGGGTTCACCGAAATTTGTCTTCTTTACCGCTTTTACTTTTCCAAGGCCTTATAACGATGACAGACACTGGAAATGAGCAACAGTCGCCTATATGGTCGCAGCTTTTCCAAGGATAAATAACTTTGGTACATTACCAAAACTCTATACGTTTGACGTCGGTCAATTTTCTCGGCCTGCTCAGTGCGGAAAATATATTAAGAGGAAGATGGACTTTCCTACTCAAATCCCTTGGGTCTAGTGGTCAACGGCGATTCACGATCAGTTTAACACAAACCATAGAATTTTATTCAGTTAAATATATATAAATAGGTATATATACATTTTTATAGGACAAAATATTTTTGGAACTATAACAACACCTACCATTATTTTAGTGGGTAATACAATTATCACCGGTGTATGATTAGATTATAAATACCTTATACTTTTTATTCTTTTACTTTCGTTTTATTCCCGTTTTTTCTCTCCACTTTTCTATGAAATTTCACCTTTTGTTTTGGTTTTTTGAACATAAAGCACGTGTTCTACGGTGGAAATTTAACGTGCGTTCTCTTCAGTAACGAATCACATTGTTCTCGAAACAATATCACTTGTACGTTTAACGACTGTAGTATAAAAACACTAGCCACCCGGTGTATTTTATGATTTATATGTATCGTGTATGGTAGGGTGTAGGCGTTTGCGGGTATACCGGCTTATTTTCCAGCAATACGTTTTGACGGCAAAGGATTTTGGCCGTTGTTACGGACCTCTGATCCACGTCTACGAGCCACATAAACGGGCTGCGAAAGGTTGTCGGGCACGTGTTAAAGATACGGGGCCAAGGATTAAAAATATATCATAAAAATAAAATTAAAATCGATACAAATACACATATACACACACACACACATTTACACGCTTTGAACAATGAGAATGTTTCGGATAATCCGTTTCGGAATTGCGCGTGATAACAATAATAATTATTACATTTTTCGCTATTTTCAGTTATGTTTCACATTAAAAAGTAATTTATATTTTCGCGTTGTTGACATGACTAAATATTATGTTATAATTGTAAATTTCAAGTTATTGTTAAAAAAAAAAAACGTCGTGTGGAAAAAAAGACATATTACATTCGCCCCTCTATTGAGTTAAAATAATTATTACAGTAATGTAATTAACTATTAAGTTAAAATAACGTCGAACTGGTTACATGAACAATGCTATATATTATGAAATAAGTAATATGAAATTGCATAATAGCATGTAGTATCCGAATATTTTTTATCTTAGTATTGAAATAATTGTTACCACACCTAGGCACTCAGGTGACAAAATCTATTGCTCTGTTTGATGTAGACACAATATAGTAACATGAATTTATTGTGTACTCACTTGGATGGGAAACCAACAAAAGGCAAATATCGCTACCACGACCACGACCATTCTGGTAACGCGTTTCTTGCCTCGACGGCTCTCGGCGGATGGCGGTTGACCGCCCGGGTTCACGCCCTTCCACAGTCTCATCAACATCAAAACGTACAGGATGCATATCAGCGCCAGGGGTATGGCGTACGAAGTCAGAAAGAAAAATATCTGAAAACACAGTAAAATAAAATAAAAGCATGAGTATTTTTCATAGTCTAATTTATAAATCGCGCGTACCTATTTTCATTTTCTATTTTATTTTTTCTAAAAAATAAATACATACGATGAAATAAATTGTAAATGCACTTGTATATAATATATATATATATGTGTATACACAAAATGATTTACTTATTGGGATCTACTCAATTTCTCAATTTTAAACAGCTCTGAAAGTAACTTCATCAAAAATCAAAACTGGTTATCGACTAGTAAACACCTTAATAGTACCGAGTAATAAACTAAAAAAGATTTTAAAAAGAAAAGCCATACAACTGCAACTACTTTCTGCAAAAATTAGTAAATCGCAATTCAAGTTTATCATCCTGTACATATAATTATAATAAAATAAAACTCCTAAAAAAATTGTGACAATTTTTTTGAACGGTACAAAGAGTTGATCTCGTTTATAAGTCCAGACATTCGTCTAGTTACCGACCAAGGAAAACAAATTCTATTGCATTCAGTTAAAAACGATAAAAATGGCAGTTTTTCAATTAGCCCCTTTTATCATTTTCCGTTTTATTATATATTTATATGTACCATTAAAATGTTTTCATGCCCATAAACTATATTGTTATTATTATTGTTATTTAAATGAAATAGTCTGTCGCCTTACATTTTTTTTTATACACTTCCCTGTCTTCGGCTGACGTCCTAGTCGCGCCACCTTATAGTGTTTTATTTTTTATCGTTCCGTCGTATCCAATACAAAAACTCATAAAACTATTGGATTTGATTGTTCAAGTCGATATACACGTATTAACATTAATGACGACCTCTTTTGTATCGTTTCGTTTTGTCCGCTTTTTTCCTTAATATAAAACAAATTGTTTCAAATAATGGTTTGTCTCGTTTTACGGTAAATATACTAAAAATACGGATGCTGTAAGGAAATAAGTCGGTGGTTCAGCCTTGACATATTAATGTATCATACTAGCCAAAATGAATGAACACCTCGAACCAATAAGAGTTATACCAAACCATAACGGTTTCAAATTAAAACAACAGCCGCCTCATAAAATTAATGTTGGTAATTTTATGGTATTGCATTTTATCTTTCTGCCAACCATAAGATGGACGAATTATTACCGGGTAATTTTTGCCAGCAACCTTACAGAGTTGACGATTTCCTATACATATACAAGGTACTGTTTCAATCAGATCCTGAGGGAAGTTGGATTATATCATTCTTCTTTATTGTACAAAAAGCTCCCCCCTAAAAAAAATTTGAAAAAGTGAAGTTTAGCTCTTCCACAATTTTTTTTTCATTTTTTTTAGACTATCTCAAGGTATTGCCAATACCAATATCAATTTTTTTTTATAAAGAAGTTAGACCACTCAATAATATCATTTATTTATTTGAATTTTACACATATAAACTAAATTACCCTTTATGTTTTGTTTTTAAAATGGTACTTCTACAACCAAAAGTTTCAAGGATTTTTTTTCAAATTTTATCGGACAATAAAAACTTTGAATTGCATTTCCAATATGTACAAAAAGTGTAAATTATTTTATTCGATTTCAGATAGATTTGAAAGAATTTAAACTCCTCAAGACTTCCATCCACATATAAACTCTGCCTATGAGTATAACATAATTTATTATTATACTATCATCATAGTATTTAAATTATTATTTAAAGGTATAACAACAACAATACATGAATACATAATAACCTGACCAATTTTGTATACTTTGGCAACACATACCTTCTAGTAAAATAATACTAAAAGTTACACTTCTGTCAGTTATTTTTGTTAAAAAAGAATGTACTAGAGTTGAAAAGTAAATATTGTTTCATAAAACGAAGTCAAAATAGGTCGTTTGTTCTTATAAAACATATTCTTCCAAACAACATACATATTTTAACCTGGTATTGCTTATTCAATAATATAAATACGTGCGTTTTTACAGTATACACTTCCGCACAACAGACACAGTCGAGATGGATTTTATTTTGAGTCCTAACGAAGTAAATCAAAAAATAAACATCAAACTGGATTTATTGTATAAACAATAAATCCAGGTCAGGTATCTAAAGCTAAATACAAAGGGTACCAATAAATTAGTCTTGAATAATTTTGATCAGATATGTATATATATATATATATATATTGTACATAATATATACTATCGTATAATATATTCGAGTGAAAGAAATAGCTGTTGATAGAAGAAGTAGTTGATTTTATATTCGATTCACGCAAATTGTTTTTATTTAAAGAGTGTCTATCGTTTGACTTGCACATAAAAGCATACAACTCTTTATGCAAATCGGTTAAGTTAAACCATTTTAAAGTTTTCAACTATCTTAACGGTATATCCGCGTATAGGCTATAGCGATACATAAATGTTTGTATCGCGCATTTATAAGTTTAAGTTTTGTCTACAGCGGATTTGATAGCGTTATAATATTTATTATAATTATTATATCATTAAAATTATGTGAATAATTTCAATAACTTTGAACAGCATAGGACTATTGAAATTACCATCACAATATAGTCAATACCCACAATAACTCGGCATCTAAAACTTGTAAATTTCTATTGAGTATTGAATACAATAATATGATTGCTCAGAATCCTAATTTGTGTACAGATTAGTCCTCTTATACCGAGATTACACCAAATGTATTGTAAGTAAATCGTAGGAAACCGAATAATAGTTATATATTCGTCTTTGTAATAAATAGTTTGTTCAAAGCACTATGGTGCATAGCAATTATATAGTTTTATTGGCGGTTTTGTTTAAAAGTAAACCAGCCATTTTTATCACGCTCGTCGTTGTAAGATATAAAACATTTAATGGTATCTTTTATAAAAAATGAAAATAATGATGAACATTCAGTTAAATATTACCAACTAGATAAGTGTGATAGATTAATTTTTATCTAACGAATACATCGCACAATGATTAATGTTAAGGATTCAATAGTTTCTAACAGAGTTGAATTAGAAGTTGAGGTACATAATACAACAAACTGGAACAAAATTTACATATGTAGTTAAATGTTATCCACGGTTAAGTTTTCTCGTACTAACGACAACTTCCGCGATTGGTTAAAGCTATTAAATTAATTTAATCTAAATCGTCTAAATTGAGTAGCACTTCATGTAAAAAAAAAAAATAACATTTCAGTTTTATTGTCCTTTTTTTCTTTATAAAAGCTTAAGTATAATAATGTATATATATATATCTGCCAGCTAAGTGATTTATGTGATATTTAAATTCCGGAAAAAAATCATTATTTGTTACGCATGAAAATGCAGAGAAAAAACTTATCTTCTTGAATACACAAAATATACTCGGAAAACCTTTAAACATTTTTACTTGGAACTTGGAACAGAGATTCCACTTGTATTGAGGCGGTTAATTTTTAATTTGTTTATAATTGTTATTAATTTGTTTATTTATGTGAATAGTGCAATGCTAAAACATTATATGAAATAATACTTTGAACATCTAATAATAGACACTTACAAATTGTATCTATATAAATGCGACATAGGATTTTACCACGGGATTGTTCATCGTCTAAAAAGTCAAATATATATATCACTCATCCGACTTAATAGGAATGTCAACATCAGTGTAAATGGTGATACCGCCGAGTATACATAAACAACACTGCGTTATTCCTGGGGTTCTATTAAGGGAACTGGTGCTTTATTCTCGACGAGAATTTCCCAACAGGATACCGTAGGGAACTCAGCTTTAAATCCCAATAGGAATCATCATATGGGCAAAAAGCTCAGCCTGTTAAATGGGGGAGATCGCAGGAATTCAGAAATTACATTAACTAAAAGTGATAAAACTACTTCAAAATTGGCCGTGGAAAAAAATCACTAAACACGCATCAAGTGTTTATATTTAAATAATAATTTGGTATAATTTAGTATTTATATTTTGTTCTTAACAAAAAGTGCCGTGTTTTAGAGAGTTTTTACAATGTAATATTTTATTAATTATAATTTGTAATTCAGTTGCCTACGCAATTTATAATTTGCAATTCAACTTTTGATTTTTTTTAGTATGTATTTTCCTGATTCAGATTTTTTAAATTTTTCATACGTGCATTTTTGATTTTGAATACAGTGTTGTTTCAAAATATTTGAAATTGAAAAAAATGTAAATTTGTTCGATTCGTTTTGCGATTTTTAAGTAGAAAGGCTCAGTTTTGTTAACTTGTGAAGTACTCAATATGGATAATTTCTAAACTTTGTACTTGCTACGAAATCGACTTAACGACCCAGTAGTTAAAATATCGACGTAGGTTATATCAGTAAAAAACTATAAAGACGTCATTGTAAAATCAATACCTTCTTATAGCTTAGAATGATGTAATATGCTAAGCTTTTTATAGTTTCAAACATTTATTCATATGTAAAGGTAATATGAGGTTTGATAAAAATGTGTTGCCTAAACAGAGTTGACTATTAAAGCACATGGTTTGCTGAAACCTTAGGGGTTCATTTTTGCCTCGAGGGTTTGTTAGAACAACTCAAACGCATGCTTTCGGACCGGATATAGCTGGACGCGGACATTCAAAAGTCAACTAGCACACAAAAAAATGTAAAAAGCACAACTGCAAATGACAAACAACCAAAAAAAAAAAAAAAACGGTCTTTCCTGGCAAATCTTTTTGTTTGTTTATAATTTCGCTGACTTTTGCTGGGGAACCTTATTCATACATTTATATGTGTATTTTTTTTTATCCTAGCCGGAAGTCTGTGGTAGAGGCATTACTACACACACACACACGAGCTTGCAAAGTTTCAGTTTTCATGCCTCATCTAGAGTTGTTTCCGGAGTACACATACATACACAATACGTTGACAAGTTCTTTTCCCCTCACTACGCTGACATTACACCAACACCGACCCCTTTAACGGTCCTTTATAAGCCCACCCGTCGTCCTCGGAGCCGTACACGGGAACCTT